GACCTTTGATGGCCCCAACAAGAGTGACATTGATGAAGTGTCAACTGGGGAGACAGCCCAAAGCTCTGCGAGTCCCAGGAAAGATTCTTGCAGGATGACATCCCCCCCTGGGATTTCTTACTGAAACAGGCTTTGAGTGGACAATTGTTTTTCTTTCTTTTTTTTTTTTTTTTTAAAGATGACCGGTAAGGGGATCTTAACCCTTGACTTGGTGTTGTCAGCACCACGCTCACCCAGTGAGCGACTGGCCCTCCCTATATGGGATCCGAACCCGGGGCCTTGGTGTTACCAGCACCGCACTCTCCCGAGTGAGCCACGGGCCGGCCCGACAATTGTTTTTCTTAAGCCTGTAAGTTTCTTTTCTTTTTTTTCCTAAATTTTTGAGCCCTTAAGTTTGAAGTTCTGTCAGGAAGTAAGTTTGTCACACTAGAGGGGATCCTTTCTGGCTTTGTTCTCTCGGTAAGGACAGTTCCAAACATACAAGTGACAGGACTGCCTGGTTAGCTCAGTTGGTTACAACACAGTGTTATAACACCAAGGTCAAGGGTTTAGATCCCTGTACTGACTAGCTACATTAAAGAGAAACGAACAAACACACAAAAACCTAAATGACAAGTTTAATTGGTTTTCAAAGAGCACTGATAGCAGAATTCTAGGGTTGGCTTTGGCTTTTAGTTTTGTTTCTTTTCGTGAACCTCCCCATAGATTCAAGAGTCCTAAGCATCTCTCCTGAGTCAGGGATTAAATGGCAGCCTGCTGCAGACTTGGCTCTGGGTGTGTCTGGCCTGGCCGTGTTCTCTGCATTGGGAGGATTATGGAAGAAACTTCTGAAGCTGCCCTGCCTCCTGGGCTGGGGGTTATGGGGGGAACACAAAAAGACATCCCAAGGTGTTTTAAAATACAGGTTTATTATAATAATAATCCAGGTGTCGCGAGGCTAACAGATCAGGATCTGACTGCCACTGGAAAGAGAGTTTGTTACTCACAGTTCCCAAGGCAGGAGTGAGGCAGGTGTGGCAAGAAACCTTACTGCACTTTCTAGGGAGAAAAAAAGCTCTAGAAAAAACAAAAAACCAAACAAAAAACCCTCTAGAGATGGATGGTGGTGATGGTAGCATAACATTGTGAATGTACTTAATGCCATGGACTGCACACTTAAAATGGCTAAGATGATCCACTTTATGTAATGTGTATTTTACCACATTAAAAATTTAAGAAGAAACTTTTCATTGGGGGGTGGCAGCTGGCTGGTACAAGGATTGAACCCTTGACTTTGGTGTTATCAGCATCGTGCTCCAAACAACTGAGCTAACTGGCCAGCCCAAGAAAACAATTTAAAGCACGTTTAAGGTTTGTACTTTTGTTTTTCTGTGTATCTGGGCTCCAGATATCTCCACGACCAACCATCTTCCACCTGAAACCAGGCCGTTCTCACAACGTCCTTATTTTATCTTCACTATTTGCTCATTACTCAGACTTGGAATGTCTTGATCTGTTTTTTTTTTTTTTTGGTGGCTGGCCAGTGTGGGGATCCGAACCCTTGACCTTGGTGTTATAACACCATGCTCTGACCAGCTGAGCTAACCGGCCAGCCGGAATATATTGATCTTTGACATGTCTCTTTGCAGGATTCTCTTATTTATTCACTTTCTGTGTTCACCTTGAGGTGTCATGTTGGGTCTGTTTCCTTGTCACCTCCAACCTCTCCTCTATCAGAGCACACACACCACAGACAGATGTCCTGTGAAAACCCCTTTAATGGTGTGTGCCCCCCACCCAGACCCAGTCCAGTCTAGACCAGTAAGAGATGGCAGCTCACAGAAGTGGAATTCAAGCTGAGGAAATGATAAGAGGGGAAAAGCTACACCCAGAAAGAACGGCACAAGAAGCAAGGGTGTGGTATCCAAGGGACATGGACATCGGTCCCCCTTCACTCCTGGCATGACCTTGGCATTCGAGGCCTTGGCAGGGGGCAGGGAACACTCATGAATCTTCAAGAGATCGACACACCCCACTGTCCCTCAGAAAGGCCTGTGTGCACATCTACACCCTGTGGGAATTTCCAGGTTGCCATGCATCCTGTACATCCTATCAGACCATGCACACTTGGTGACAATCCATCCAGCTGTTTTCTTGTGATGCAGCAATTCTGTTGTATTTATGAGGTCGAAGGAGAAAGCGTACATGAATTTGCAGGGGAAAGCTGGCTTTGGCTGTGGCATGTACCCTCCCATCTAGATTCCAGACTCTCCTGAGGGCCTTGGTGGTTCTGGCATTTCCCCTCGAGGCTGCAGGCCTGTCACAGACTATTTCTGGGGCCTGGCTCTCCCCAATTCGCCAGCACCTGGCCATTTGGCATGGTCTGGGGGCATGCATGGTTTACGCTGTTGACGCACAAGGTCTTTCCTCCGTTAGGGTTGAAAGACAAAGAAAAGAGGGCCTTGGTGCCTCTCCCATCAAACCAGCTCCACCTTGCCAACTCCCCACTCCTCTGCCCATCCCCACATCCCCACCTCTTGTCTGAGTTCCTTCAACTGGAAAAGAGCCTTCAGTGGCTTATCCCAGGCCCGGTCCCCCTCCCTGCCTACCGTGGCTCTCTGACCCAGGCCCTCACTCCATGGGCCCTCGGCCGCTCCTGTCTTCCTCCTCCACCTCCTCTTAGGACCCTGAGTCACAATCTTTAACTTAGGAAAACCCAGACGGACAGAACGCAGTGCTGGGAATGAAGATGAAAGGCAGAGTTTGAAACACTGTGGTCCACAGATGCCCGAAGTACAACCAGGGGTCAGAGACAGCACAGCCAGGCTTCCCTGAAGCATGTCCCACTTACGGGACTCTCCTAAACCTCTCACTTCTCGAGGTGGATCCCTGGATACTGGTGTCCCCCAGAAGTCCTGTTAGAAATGCCAGCTCTCAGGCCACCCCAAATCTACAGAAGCCAAATGTGTTTTGACAAGGCCCCTGGGGGAGGTGGTTGCACACTCAAGTCTGAGAAGTGCCGACAGCCAGAACCCTCCTTCTCAGTTCCCAGGTGGGGAGGCTGGAGACCCACTAGCCTGACCCCTTGGAGCTGCCCAGTGGCCCCAGGAGCTCTAGCTGGGCGGCCACTGGGGTCTGAGCACCTAAGGGACACCCATGGAGCACAGCAACATCCCCCCATGACCAACAAGGCCTGGATATCCTGTGGCCTCCCCAGAAGACCATTTAGTCACATCTGGAATTGAAGGAGATGAACACAGAACTACAAGACACACCCACAAAAGAAAAACCAGCGACTTGAAAACTAAACGCCCACAGACAGGCACGTGCATGGGCTTTAGCTGAGCCCCTTAGTTGCTGGGACTCAAGGGGGCTGCCAACCTCTAGGCCCAACCCCAACCCCAACCTTGCTCCTTGGATTCAGGGAAGTCACAATAAACTGCAATGCCTACTTGATCTCTGCTCCTTTCCGCAAGGATCCTGTGAGGTGGGTGCCATGGCCCCATTTCACAGAGGGGAAAACTGAGGTGCAAAGTCAGTGGCTTGTCCACATGGTACACTTGGGAGTGGCAAAGCCAGGATTTAACCTGACTCTCTGACTTTGAAACCCTTGTGTTCACGACCACCCAGTCATCCCACCTCCGTTGTCCCATCCCCAGAGGAACATAGTCCCAGAAGACACTCCATATGTCCCCAGGGCTCAGAAGTGGCCATACTGTGATCCAACATGGGAAGGGAGGCCACTGGCAGGGGAGGGTTGGTGTGGGGAGCAGATGGACAAGCCACACCCAGGGACCCCTCAGAGGACCCACAGGCCTGTGACCCTAGACAAGAGGGTCCTCTGGGTCTCAGAGGGGAGGAGGCTGGCTTGTGTGCCCATCCAGGGGAAGGACACAGCTGCACAGAAGCAGAAAGGCCCTGGAAGAGCTGATCACAGGGCATACCCCAGGCACCCTCCCTCCCCACACAGGTCAAGGCACTGGCCTAACTCAGGCTTACCTAGGAAGGAGGACATCACTTACAGCCCCTCTACCTAGGAAGGGGGATGTCACTTGGATGGAGCCCCTCTACCTAGGAAGAGGGACGTCACCTAGATGGAGCCCCTCTACGCAGGAAGGGGGACATCACCTGGATGGAGCCCCTCTATGTAGGAAGGGGACGTCACCTGGATGGAGCCCCTTTACCTAGAAAGGGGGACGTCACGTGGAGCCCAGGCTGGCGCTTCACTCGGCTGTGGGCTGCTCACAAGTCACACACGATCACCCCTACACCATCACATCTCAACGATCCCACTTCATTTATTACCAAAATATCACAGAATTGCAGTCATAGTTAACATACAGTGTTTAACACAAACCTGATACCTGTGAAAAGAACTAAGTATTCAGACAATTGAGTCGTTTGGAATCATAAGTAACACCCCAAACTGTATCACTCCGTACTTCAAAAATACGCTTTTGAGAGCTTTGGAAACTGAATTAAAATGTCTACACAGCTATGAACAATTGTTTAATAAAACTTTTTCATGTTTCCATTACATGTAAATATATCAATTTGGCATCTCTATAAAAACTCTGAAAATGGTGCAAAAGTTTCATTCTCTTTGAGAAAGCCATTGACAAAAAATATTCACACTTCACTAAAATTTTGAAAAATGCTCTTCTTTCAAAGCTTCTTTATTAATCTGAAATCTTCTGGATTATCAAAATCTAGGTTTGCTTTTTCCTCCTAAAACACTAAAGAACAATTATTTCACAAGGATTAAAAAAAAATAAAAAAGGCAATGGGGAGATGGAAAATTGATAAGGGCTTTTTTCTTCTTCCCTGAAAATAATTTAAAAACTAGTTACATAAGTATCCTCAAAAGAACACAATGGGATTCATTTTATTGTTGACTTTTGGACAGCAGTGTCAGACTTTATTGAAAACAAACCCATGTAAAAACAAAGTTAAAATGAAAAATGGTACCTGAAAAATAAATTATTTTATATAAAACAAATCAATAACTTAAAACACACTAATATACAAAATGTCTAACCATCTACTGTACAACACGGGAATCAGTTGATAAAGCCTCCCCCTCCCCCAAAGCAAGTCACTGTAAACGGAACATCACATGGTAAAAGAGGTGGCCCCAATCCATGGAAAAGCCTTCTTTACTGGTGGAAAGAAAACACAGTCCTCTCAAAGTCTCCGTTAGCCTAACTTAGGTACTAGAGGTGACTTACAAGTAAAAAACGAAGTTTTTTTTTAATGACTGAGAAAAAGCTGAACTATTTCACTGAAAGGTTGTGGAAAAACAGGACATGATCATCAGAGGTCAGGGGAAAATCAGAACTTTTGGAAATGTGAAGCCTGTCTGGGATTGAGAATCAGATTCTACGGCTCTCGTAAGAACGTGTCAAGTATCGATGCCACTCAACAGAAAGCACTTGTGACTTCAGGGCTGTCTTGGGAAGTTTGGGAACAGGACCCCCAGGAGTCTGATGAACCCCGGGGGTCTCTTCTAAGGAGCTGCCTCAAGTCCCAGCAGACGAGGTAGGTTCTGGGGACTGACGGGAGGGACATGTCAGCTTACTCTTACTCTTTCATCCAACACAGGAAGGCTGCAGAAAGCATGCAGGAATAAAACCAGGCTGAATCAGATGTGAAATGCAACAGCTGAGTGCTGTCAATTTTGATTTTCAAGTCCGACACTGGACTGGGGTAAGCCATGTCTTTTCAACCCCTTGTTGACAAATGCCCTCATCTGGAGGCACACCAGGGGTAATTGCCACTAATTGTGGGTTCGTCTACTTCTCTGATCCGGCAGGGACCCCTTGACTACCAGCTCCAAAGGGCCGGCCTGGGCTCCCTATAGCAGCACGGTTCAGTTCCTGGATGTAGGGTTCCAGTACTAACACCAACTACAGACTCTCGAAGGTTAAGGCAGCTGCCCTTGGCGAGGAAAAGACTCACCTTCCAGCAGAAGGCAGAACCCACCCAACAGCACCTGCGTACGGGCCCGGAGGAAGCCCAGCCTTCAGTTATTCATGTAAGATGGTGGCTGTGGAGGGGACTAAGCACCCCAGGAGGGAATCACAGTCACAGGATTGTGACTAGAGGCACAGCCAGCACAGAAAACCACAGCATGGCATATGACATTGAAAAGCTGAATAAGGGCAGACAGAGCCTGGGGGATGTGAGGGGGAATGGATAATTCAACTAGAATCAGGTTCACAAATTGGGAGCTGCTTAGGGTCTAACTACCTGGGGACATTACATAGGTCAAAAGAGAATTCAACCAAAGCCTCTTTGGTATTTACCAATTTTTTGATAAACTAACATTATCTACTCAATTCTTTTTCATCAAAATTCCCAAATAAAAGAGAGCACTCATTTTGCTAAACACAAATATGATTAATCTACGTAAAGATTTTAAAGAAATGGCTTCCTTTGGGTTGTGAATTTTAAAAAAGGGATCTCCCTTTTCCCTTTTGCAAACAAGTCTTGCTAAGATGTAATGAATTTTTACAGCACAGGGCTAGCATCTAGTACCTCAATGGGAGAGAAAATTGCTTTTCAGGAATGATGTTTCAAAAGCTAAATCCCTCCACACACTTGCAAATTAAAACTCCCAAAGAAATGCATTGGAATTTTTAGTTAGGAGACTGTCCAAACAGGGGCGATCACATAAAATGAGAATTTTACTGAGAAACTTCAGGTAACTTTCAAATGTTCATCCAGTTCACATTTCCTTCCCATCTGTCCCAGCATCAGAATAATCAGTATGGTTCAGATAAAAGGGAGTGGGGAGGAAGCTGAGGTGCTGGCTACAAGCCCGTCATTTTCACAGTTTAAGCTGAAGCCAGAACTCTCTGCAGAGATGGAACACTCTGGCTAAGGCTGCAGGAATGTGTGGAGCTGAGCACACTTAAGGGTAAGTTTCAGGTGTGGGAATCTCACCTTCACTCAGAAGATGTTGGCCTGATGAACCTGAAAGGCGTATTTTTTCCAAGAAAACATTCTGGTCCCAGGGTAAGGAATGCTCTGAGGCGACAGAGCAGGGACCCACTTTGTGTCGAATCCAGGCAAATGGGCACCAGTTCTGGGTTCCAGAAGGAGGCCCCACAAGCTGGCTTTTACTGAGGACCTGGAACTTCTACAGGGGGAAGGAGGTCCTCTGTGGCACTTGGCCGATTTTTATGACATAAGGCCTGCGTACAAATGGCAACATGTGCCATTTGAGAGGACTCTGCAACAGCCCCTCAGTGAAGAATCAGGGAAAGGGGGTGGGAACAGGCAGCCTCAAGTTGTCCAAGGGCTTCTTGAAACACTGACATGCTCTGGAGCTGTGCCTATCGCCCAATTTCCCACTTAAATAAATAAATAGATAAATAAATAGATAAATAATGCCATCAACCCATGATAGCAGTATCTAAAAAACTGTCGTTACATGTTTTAGTCTCATGTCAAGGTTAAAAACTGCTGGCACTAAGTTGTCTTTTTGATTCTCTCTGTACACTAGTTATTTTATAAAAATCAGATCACATTCCTGAAGATCTGAGGGAGATCTGGTCCTACTTTGCAGGCCTTCTCTCTGACTTTTCCTACCACTTTCCGGTTTTAAAACCTACAATTTGTGACTGCACATTCCTATGTCATGGATTCAGAAATGCTTTTTCTTGAGGCAAGTATTTGTTTCTTAAGATTTTATGAATCCTCCCTGAATGCTGGGCCATCTGTACCTTACCTAGCCAAAAAGAAAGAAAAGGTAAAATAAAAAACAAAACAAAATTCGAGCAAAACAAAATCAAATTTAATGGTCTTAAATGCAAAAGTAAAAACAAACAAAAAACACAAAAAAGCAAAAGAAAATTAACAGAACAGAACAACCCAAAATGTCAAGGCAGTTATGAAGAGAACTTTGAGGGTTAATCTTTAAAACTACAAATCAAAGGTTTTTGTTAATAGATAACTGGCAAGAAGTACTTTTCTGCTGAGTGTTCATACGAAAGCAAAATTCCGAAACAAAATCCGACTAAAATAGAAAAAAGTCTAGCGCTCACAAGAAAAGGGATGCGAGAAACACAATGCTCAAATGTTTATGTGTTATTAAAAAATAGAGCTATCGTATGCATTCAAGCTATGTTAAATGCTTGTGGAGAAATTATTGTGAACAACAGTATCTGATGTGTGGGCACTGGGCATGCATTGTGGGGACAGAAACTGGGGATGTCATAGTAGCGACACATCTTCAGGCATGCCTGGAGCTTAGATCTGATTCTGGAATATACTGGAGTTTCCCTGAAACTCTTTGGTCCGTTCCCATTGGTGCCTGGGCTCACGAAACACATTTGTGTTCTTCTCTGGAGGGCCCAGCCTCGCGTGCGACCCCCCTCCCTGGTGGTGGCCCATGTGGGATGGGCCCACTGCCACTCCCAGGACCCCTCGGCAGAGCCTGGGACTGAGGGAGCAGGACCTGCTGGGGAAGGCAATTTCCTGTCAACCAAAGCATACATCGCTTAAAATGTTGAAGCGGTTGAGAAAACGCACACTCAGCATCTGTCTAACGTCTTTAGATTAAAAACTAAAACTAAAAGGTCTTTTTTGTTTTTTTATCCAGTTTGTGGAGACACTGAATGAAACAAGTGTTAGACAGTCTTAGAAGTTAAAGCATGCTTCAGTTTCACCACCATCCAGAGGGACTGGTTAGTCAATGCGGTCTACTTAGGTTTCTGTTTAATATATATTTTAAAGGAAATAACTTAAGAAACTTAAATTGGTCTAACATTGTGGGATTTCAAACATTTGAACATGTCGGTTGCATCCCAGAGTATAAAAACCTTTTCACTTCTCATTAGACTAAGACAAACACTTGTGAAAATTGGCGCAAAATGAGTTGTACACTAACAAAAAAGTTTCAACTTCTTCACTCTTAATTATCTATTCCGTACAAAAAAAGCATGAGCGAGTTATTTGTGGGACTTGTTGGTTTTGAAGGAAACCTGTAAGATTTTGTCCCCCAGGCGGTAGCCATTCAGACTTGCTATGGCCATTGCAGCTTCTTCATAGTTTGTCATGGTCACAAAACCAAACCCTTTGCACTTGTTGGTGTTGAAATCGCGAATCACTTTCACATTGGTGACTGCGCCAAAGGGGCCAAACATCTGCCAGAGGATCCCCTCGTCGGCGTCTTGCCCAAGGTTGTAGATGAAGATGCACCAGCCGGAAGATGGGTTTCCGGGGACATTGACACCAGAAAGCCCACTCATGTGATCTACACCCATAGGGGAGAACCTAGCAGACAGAGAGCACAACATTCAGGTCAAGGTCAGTGCAGGCAGATGCAGTGACACGGAAGAGCCGCTGGTGGGGGCAGGGGGGCGTGGTGAGGACAACTTGGGCATACGCTGTGTGGACACTGGGCTCCTGTCCACTCTACTTAGCTGGTTCTGCCACTGTGGGACACCCGCATTAGTCGCAACCATGACTGTTTTTTAAAACTGAGTGAAATTCAATATGGCAGTGGAGGGGGTGGGATCTGCTCTGTAGGGAATGGACTCTGAGGAGCCTAGTCAGTGACCTCTGCTCAGATGCACCCCCATCTCCTCCCACTGGGTGTGGGGGGGGGGGCGGTCCCATTTAGTCGTTCCCATGGCTTCCCATATTTTAAATGATGGCTGTCCTCCTTTGTAGGTAAAAGCACACTATAGGTGCTTTTACATCCTCAGGTCTCCCTGTAGGACAACTCTTTCCTCATAGTCTGTGTGTGTACATATGAGTGTGGGGGGAGACTCTCCTTTTGCCAAATCTTGTACCTTCCTCTCATCCTGACCCCCCTTCTCTGGGGGCTCACGGGCTGGTGGTCTCTGGTAAGAGCACACTCCTGTGAGGGGACACTGTGGGGCACAAGGAGAGTACTTCCCACAGCTTCGGGCAACCTTCTGTTGCTGGCTCAGAACATCCCATGGTGTTCGAGTCAATTTAAGAATATTTCAGTATGGGCCGAGCCCGTGGCGCACTCGGGAGAGTGCGGCGCTGGGAGTGCAGCAGCGCTCCCGCTGTGGGTTCGGATCCTATATAGGGATGACCGGTGCGCTCACAGCACTCACTGGCTGAGTGCAGTGCGGCCAGTCTCAAAAAGGACAAAAAAAAAAAAAGAATATTTCAGTATAATTTAGACTCTGTGAAGCCACACAATGCAATCAGAGAAGTACTACCTGCTCCAAAACGAAGCTGGGCTTGAGCTGTGGGCTCCATCAGCCCAAGTACGTCCCCTGCAGGCCCAAACAGGCAAGCAGTTGCCTTCAGGTGCCATTTAGCAGATTCACCCTCTCGAGAGACATAAGAGTGAATGGCCCCCAGATGTGGCTCACTGATGCAAGGGTATTGAAAATATGCAGGTCCATGGAAGAATCAAGAACGGCATTGGCCATGGTTTTAAAAGCACAAGAAAGATTTTTAAACAGCCCATACCAGGGTGTCTGAGTTGGTTCAATGACTCAGCCTTTTGGTGGTCTTGGGGCCGTCTGGGATGACAGTAAGATGACAGTGTCACTGACATGGGGGTGGGAACAGGCACCTGGGCATCTGCGGGACACTAAGCTGAGCTGGTTTTCAATGAGAACTGGAAAAAGGTTTTGAGTTTCTTTACAAGGACCTCATTTCCCCCGAGTTCTGTAGGACGCTGCTTTGTCCTAATCCTCCTTCATCACTGCTACTTTGGAGGAAATCAAATACGGGCCCAAATTATTAGTTACCTAAATTTTTACATAGCTATTATATTGAAAATCATCTGAGGTAATATTTTATCATCTTTCATTCAAATGATTCTCATTCTTATGAATTATTCTTGTCGGTTGGTTTTGCTCCTGCTGATTTCTTTGATCTGGACAGTCATGAACCCCGCCCCCCTTTCTTTTCTTTGATGGCACAGAAGGAGAACTGACCCTTCCTTTATTTTGGGCTTTTCCGGATGTGACAGGAACTGACTGCAAACCCTCTGCTCTTCTGCTCTGGGTCTTTCTTCTTCTTCTCCTTATCTCAGTCTGCCTTCTGGTAGAGAATCTTTTCCTCTTTCCCTCTGTACTCTCCCATCTTCCCCCTCCTCCCACCTCTTCTGCTGTGTGGCTTTGGCTGCTTTCACTTTCCTGCTCAACCAGAAGTATCGGCTCCTCTGGTTTCTCCTTTCTTTTCTTGTCCTGGTTACTGAGACCAAGTCCCCCCTTCCCTGGTTTTCCAGAGTTATCGAGTAACTCCCCAAATGTCCCTGTCCACACGCCCACCTGCTCAGGAGCAATGCTGGTGTGCTATCAGACTTCTAAAGTGAGATTCTAAAATCAAGCTTGATTCTGTCCAGAGAAGCTTCCCCAGCTTTTGTCTTTCAACTAGAAAAGCCAAGGCAGGCAAGCCAGCTTTGGAACCTGAGGCAAGCTGAGAACTCTGAGTAACTCTGCTGTGAGAACACCACCTCTCAGAACAGCACTGGTGGAGAATAGGTATACCCAACCTCACTGTTTAAATCAAAGACAGGAAGCCTCTGAAAAGTCAAGGAGAAAAAGCCTCATCAGACCTGAGATAAGCCCTTGGGCCACTTCTGGAGGTATTGACAAAAACAACACAAAAAGGCCCATAAAACAACTGGATCTCCGTTGTTCCGAGGAGTAACACGCCCGATCTTGGAGTCCAAGTTACTGACCCTAAATGTCTCTATTCTCCTCAATCCTAGACACTGGAACCATTTTCAGTATGGAAAGACTAAGGAAAACTCCTACCCTCTAGGACAGGACCATTAAACAGAAGGCATATGCTATTCAGATACCAAAATGACTCGTCTTTGAGGTAGGTGTATGAAAAAGGTCTGTTTCAGGGCTGTTGATCAAACGTCTAAAATCTGTCTAAAAACCCTGTATGAAGAACAACTCTGGCCTAAGCACACCTAAGTTGGCCTCTTTCCTCCCACAGATACAGAAGGATCTTTTAAACTCACAGCTCCATTCTCACGTTACTAGAAAGGATACTTTGGAGCACCACACGCTCACTCTCCTAAGAGCCGGTGGGAACTGGTGCCATCTTTTTGATTCCAATGAAAGACGACACCCCAATGGAAGCAAGTGGCTTCCACACAGATGCCTGTTCGATGGAGGTGGGGGCACGGAGCTGTGAAATGATTCTGAAATGCGCTGAGAGGATCAGCTTAGTGTCCCCAGCATTATCCATTCTGTGTAGCCACCCACCTGGCAGCTTTAAAGAGCACGGTTGGCGTGGTGTGGACCACCCGCACGCTGCCCCTGTGGACCCACCTGAACCTCTGCGCCTGGTGGTGAACGGGGCCTCCGAACCGTCTAGCAGGCGAGTGGTAGAGCTGGGAGAGGAGTGCCACGTTTTTATTCTGGTTGGGGTTGGCAGCAAACTTCACTGTAATGGGCTCGGAGGAACCTGGGGGTTTATGACCATTGAAACTGGTAATTGCCTCTTCCGCTTCCGACCGTTTGTCAAACCGGATAAACGCAACCCCTCTGGACAAACCTTTTTAACAAACCAACAAAAATGGAGTTAGGGGAAAAAAACACAAGGACTTTTAAAACTGAAAAGCAAAAGTAAAGTCAGTCTACTGAGGTCCAAGTTGGATGTCTGGTTAAAGAAATAAAAATTAAACCTAAATATGAAAACAAATGAATGAATTAAAAGAAAAAAACAATGACTAATAAAAGATTAAGGTTTCAGGCTTTCTTCTGAGTTGAAGTAACAACTCCAGTCTCGGTAACAAAAGATATTTTGTGATGGACATTCCAAATAAACAGCTCAGACCTCTTTCTTAAAGAAAGCAAAGTTAGGAGAGACCACTGCTTAGCTGCCGGGTGCCCACACGGTGTGGGCGTGTTGAGGGGACCGGAGGTAATGAAGGGTCAGGGCCAGGTCTGGAAGATTCTCCTCGGGTGCTGGGGCTTCCCTCCCAGCAGCTGCCTTGCAGCAACAGCCAGACCTTCTGGGCCTGCCCTGAGGGAGCCGCTGGTTGCTGGGTGCCCAGCTCAGCCTGCGCCCCTCCTCCATCCCAGGAGGGCGCAGAGTCCTGTAATACCTGCCTCCCCCAAACATAGCTTTCCTGCTGCTATCACCTCACTCACCTCCTGGATCCTCCATTCTAAGGTCCCTGGACCTCCCGTGAGTCCCAAATCACCCTCAGAATCATGAGGCCACTTGCTCGCTCCACAGAAAACTGTCAGGCAGGCACACGGAGCTGAAGCCCCCCGCAGACTCACCAGGCAGGTCAACAGTCCCTGCTGTGGGCCCACTCGGTGCCTGGCCCTGTTCCTGCAAGGGAAGGGCCAGGGCCCCACCAGCGCAGCCTCTAGTTGCTTCAGGAGGGCACATTCTCTTCCACCTAGACCAAGCCACCCAACAGCAAGCCCCAGTCCCCTGTGGGAACCCTCAACAGAGCAGCCCAGACCTGAGGCAGTGAATGGTCAGCCGGGCGTGATTGTCAGCTGCCAAGCAAACCAGGTGCAGGGAGTTCAGCCGCTCTCCACAGAGGGCACCCTGCCTGTCTACAGTCTAGCCCTAGGGGGAAAAATGAGACCTTGTCCCTCAAAGAACTTGAGGAATGGGGTGGGGTGGATGCAGCTGAGGGGTGTGGGGGTGAGGGCTACTGAGCAGTGGACTGTCTCCTTTTCCAGGGAGAAGAAACAATGGGGTCAAAGGGAAGAGCAAAGTGTGAAGGGAGGTGACAGCCAGGGGCCAATCTGAGAGTGACATCACTGGGCTGGAGTTATGGGTGTGCCCTGGCAGGAGAGGCTGCAGTGGACAGCCCCAACCTAAATGCTCTGGTTAGCAAGACTGCCAGTCAAAGGCTGTCTAGGTCGAGGTTTCTTCTCCAGGAACAGGCCTCTTAGCACGCGGTGAATGACAATGACCAAAGCAGGTCAGCCCAGGGCCTTGGGCAACCAGTGAGTGAGCCGATTGTGCCCAGGCCCACTCCCGTGTTGGGAGTGGGCCTTTTCTCACTGCTTCCCAGGCAGTCCCACCAATTGTTCCCATAACAGGCACAGGTGCGACTTGGATGTGACACTGTGGGCCCCACAGGCCAAGGACTCTTTATAACCATAATGTACCATGGATATCCCATGCTGGGTCCTAAGGCCCCCCCTACTGGATCCCCAGCACAGCAGTCTCAAAGCAGCCCCTGCATGGGCCCTGTGATGGCTTAAATATACACTTAAACTTCACCTGGCCAGAGGCACTTACAGACTCAGTAAGTCAGCCTGAGAGACATGCACATGTGCCAGGAAATTCTAAGGTCTCAGCTAATTTTTAAATTTCAGTTCACAGGGAACACCTGAAAACACCCACTTGGCAAATGCCATTTTTTTTTTTTTTAACTTTTGTTTGTTTTTTGGCAGCTGGCTGGTATGGGAATCTGAACCCTTGACCTTGGTGTTACAAAGAGGTGCTCTAACCAACTGAGCGAACCGGCCAGCTCCCAGATGCTGTTCTTATTTGCTCTCACGTGATGCAGACGACAGCTTACTCCATAGTAGAGACCTAAACCAATACCTAAGCTGAGGCAAATAACGACTGACGGTTGTAGCTGGCTGGCTCTTACAGACAGCTGCCTCCCGCTGGTCGGCTAGCTCAGCTGGTTAGAGCGCAGTGTTGATAACACCAAGGTCAAGGGTTCGGATCCCAGTGCCGGCCAGCCATCAAAAACAAACAAAACAAAAACCCAGAAAGCTGCCTCCAGTGAGCCGGCTTCATTCCGTTTCTTTTTTTTTCTTTTTTGTCTTTTTGTCTTTTTTCGTGACCGGCAACGGATCGCAACCCTCAGTGTCGCGCCAGAAGTGAATGCCCTGGGGTTGGTGGGTATGTGTGCACCCCAGAGGCTAAGGAGAGCCCACTGGAAAGATAGGTGGCTGGGGGTTCATTTTCAGAGGTGGGGGGGCTCCAACTTGACAGCCTGTTCCCACTCAGCAGTTGGACTGTGGTGGACAAGGCAGACCAAGGCAAAGCAGTCCATGTGGGATCTAGAAAGGAGCCAGGGAGTGGCATGTGGGCCAGCAGGGCCACCCCCACCCCTGGGTCCCTAGGCAACCTGCTCAGCCACTCCCTTGCAGGATGGGGTGGAATGAAGCCGTGCTTTGGCCAGCCAACTGGATCATTCTCTCTCTCAACTGGCACTTGAAAGTAAGTGAGGGGACTTTAGGGACCACAGGAACTCTTCTGGTCCTGTTTTCTACCAAGTAAGTGGCACCCCCCCCACACACCACCCCATCCCAGAGTGAAGGGCACAATGAAGGAGACCATATGAGTGAGCCTAGGTTGCTCCAGCATAGGCCAGTGCCAGGCTGGCGTCTGTGCCAGGATACAGGAAACATCCAGAGCCCCCATGAAATGCAAGCACCTGTGCTTGCAGCCCATGCTCCAGAAGACCCAAACAAGCTTGACAAAGCACAGCGACACCTCCCCTTCCTCAGGGCGCAGACCAGGTCTGCAGCCTGGCAGCAGGCAGGGCCGTGCATGCCAGGTGGGGCTTTAACAGCTGGGTGGGAGAAGGGAAAGGTACTGGCAAGGCTGCCTGCCCCTACCACACTGCTCAGGGTATACAGGACAATGCCAGTGCACCAGCCCTGCCTGTCGCAGCCAGGAGGGCCCTGCCATGTGCAGATGAAGGGCCAAGTTTTGTGTGGGTCTGCATGACCCAAGGGGCACTGCTGGTCTCTCCGAGCTTCCTGTGGCCCAACTACCCAGTGCATTTTAACACCACAGCCAAGGGGGTGTTATACGCAGTCCATGTGGGAAGATAAAAAGCAACCACAGGCTAGCCGGTTAGCTCAGTTGGTTAGAGCATGGTGTTATAACACCATGGTCAAGGGTTTGGATCCCTGAACTGAACAGCTGCCAAAAAAAAAAAAAATTCAAAAAGCAACCACAGACGATTGAGTGGGCTTTGCTGAGCTCCGGGGGCAGAGACTCTTTCTGGCTTCTCAGCAAATTCCCACTCCTGCTGGGAAGAGAGCTGAGGAATCCTACAGCAGGGGTGGCTCGAGCCCCCTGTTCCCCAGATGGGGCCACAAGGGGCTTGGCAAGGGACGTCCTGGCCCCCAGCCTTAGACCAGTGGGGCAGATGGGCCAGAATGCAGCCACGGGCAGGAGTGTGCGTGTCCTTGGCTCATTTACGCCTGACGGCTTCATGCAAAACCCAGAGCCTGAGTCCAGTACTGAGACAGCCGGGCAGGGGCCAGCCAGGTGGCCAGGACAGCAGTGATGGCTCTGTGCCCTGTGTGCTTTGGATGTGCTCCCTGGAGGGAAGGCTTCCAGATCTCGAAGAAGGGCTTATCAGTAACAGTCAACCTCGTAGCTTCAGGGCAATGAGAAAATGGGCTTCGGAACCCTCAGAAAAGGCTGCCGCACACCGTCTGCCCGTGGTAAGAGTTGCAGGGGACAACAGAGCAGCGGCTCGCTCACCCCACTCAGAGGCAAGGCCAAGACATTTGGGTGCCTAAGGGAAGGTGCCAGCATTTCTTGGTGTTTTCACCATAAAACTGGGCTTCTTTTAACGCCGTCTTACTCCTCAGACTCGTCAAACAAAAGCCAGTGTCTTCTCACTTCGATTCTGCCCTCATCTGTGGAATAACTAATGACATTTAAAAGTCAAACAGTGATCTGTCTCTTCTAGAAAACCTGGCCCCCAGCCTAGAGGGAAACCCTCGCTGCACATCTGAGTCACTGGCTGTACCTGTGGTCTGATCCACAAGGACCCGGGAGTTGATGATTCGTCCAAACCGAGAGAACATGTCCTCCACATCCTTCTGGGTCATGGTCCTTGGGAGTCCGCTGATGTACAAGTTGGCATCTTTGATGACCTCTGAGCTCGGGCGAGCGTACGATACCTTGAAAACAAAACCACTTTCTAGGATTAGGGCAGGTACATAGCCAAAGCATCAAGGGAAGGTGCTACACTTTCAGGTTAGGAAAAGCCAACGCTGGGGTCGAAAAATCAAGCACAGGACAGTTTTCCATCCTTGATGCTGTCACCTGCAGTGGCATATGTTGGCAGCTCACTGCAGGGCAGGCAGAGAGCAGGGACACCTTGTGACATTTTGCCACTTCGCCCTCGCCAACCCCAATGAGGCGGACATTATTCCTATTTCACCAAGTGGAGAGACTGAGGGCCCACAGCTGGTGGGTAGCAGGGCAGGGACCCAGGCCCAGCTGCCTGTTCTCCTACCACAGCCTTATGCTCTCTCTGATGTGCTGAACAATGACTGATGCTGGGACAGGACCTGGGTCCCGCCCACAAGCAGCCCGTGGTGCAGTGGGCAAAAGCGCCAAGAGTGCATGTGACACCCTTGCCAATAAGCCAGAGTGCCACCAAGGCCTAGATGAGGCCCGGAGCTCTGGGGGGAGCCTGAGTCCTATACTCAGTTGTTCAACATTGAATGACTCAATGCCTTTGAGTTTATTTTTCATAAAATCAAAGAAAGCCTGCCAGGAGCTTTCGCAGTGGCTCTGACAGAATGGGGCAGGCGTGCACTGGAGGATGGTGTGGGGAAGGAAGCTCCAGAGGCCAACGGCAGGAGTAGCTGCTTTCCCAGGTGGGGGATAATGGCTGTGCGAACCCCACAGTCCAGGAGAGATGGATCCAAGGGCACCCCTGATGAGGAGCAGATGGGAGGAGGCCCTCCTGCCTGCAAAAGGGCAGCTTGGCAGGAAGGCTGGGGACTCACAACCGAGTCAGGAGTCAGGAGTCCGGGAAATGGAGGTGGCGGGAGCAGGGAGCCATGTGCTCAGGAAGAATGGGACTGGGACCCGGGCAGGAGAAAGAACGTTCTCTCTGAGGGCACAGAACTGATGAGACGAGGAGATGGAGACCATAAAACAGGGAGCAAACAACCTCTCAGGTGTTACCAGGCAGGAGTCTGTTCTGTGTGCCTGGAACACAGCCACAGAAACATTTGAGGACACCTAGGCCATTCCAGGGCAAGTGCTGTTGCCTGGGATGGAGAGAGGGAGAATCAAACAAGGACCCGAGTAGTGCGGTCAGAGTCTAACTACACCCAAGGGGAGCTCAGAGCTTGTGGAGTTGGCACCAACGGAAAGCGGAGCCAAAGGGATGTGGACAGGAGGACACCACAGGCACCAGGTGCCACCGGGGGCCAGGGAGTCTCAAGGAAGCCGTGCTATGCATGTTGGACACCCCCTGGAAGCTTCCCTGTGCTTCTCCCAGGCCCAGGCACCTTGGTCAGAACACGGGACAGAAGCTCTGGGGATACCTGACCACTCCATGATTTTGGTCAGGGGCTAGTGCACAAGTGACACTGTCCCCTGAGAAAAAGAGGCTGCCTGGGCCCCCGGCTTCCCCAGCCCCCTTCTCCACAGAGGCCTAAAGTGTCCTGTCCAGGTCGATTGTCAACCAGCTCCAGAGAACACCCCACTCAAACTCTTGCCAGATGGTCATAGCCACAGCAGTTCAAGATGGCTGAAGGAGGAAGCCCCCTTGCCCCGCCAATCCCCTGGGCCTCCAACTACTTTGTACTTTCCTAGGATCAGGCTGGGCCAGTGGGGAGCTGTCTCCCAGGACTGCCCCACCCTGGCCCTTTGCAGACCTGTCTGGCCAGGCTGCATTTGGGGTCTACCCTCGACTTTTAACCAAGGACACAGCGGGAAAGAACATACCCAAACTGCAACCCCTGGTGCCAGTGGTGCAGAGCTGAGGCCAGCACTGACCATACTTACCATAACCCTCTGGATGATGCCCCAGAGGAGAAAAGCCTTTTTGAGCCAAATTCTGGGAAAGGTTCAATGTCTTCAAGGACCATGATAACCCTGCTTTCTTTTTCTCTCTGGTCACTGTCAAGTTCAGAGTCAAATCAGAATCAAATGAGGCTGTACTGGAGCAGCTGGCACACAGTGGGTGGGTGGGCACCAACCAAGCAGGCATTTTCAGGATGCTGCTCCGTGGCAGCTTGGCCCAGAACCCTTTTCTGAGCTGCAGCATCACTTGCTCCTTGGCCTCACCCAGATCTTTTCCCAACTATCCCATTCTGGAGAAATCTTCCTGTGAGGGGTTGAATTCTGTGGGCCCCCCTCCCACCCCAATCCAAATTCACATGTTGAAGTCCTAGCCCCCTGGCATCTCAAAATGTGACCCGATTTGTAGATAGGGTCACTGTGGATATAATCAGTTACGATGAGGTCACAGTGGAGTAGGGTGGGCCCCAATCCAATATGACTGTTGTCCTTATAAAAGGAGAAATTTGGACAAAGGCATACACAGAGAAGGAACACCACGTAAAGATGGAGGCAGAGACTGGGGCGATCTTCTACAAGCCAAGGAACGCCAAGGGTTACCAGTAACCACCAGAAGCTGGGGAGAGAGGCCTAGGACAGATCCTTTCCCAGGGCCTTTGGAAGGCACCAGCCCTGCCTACACCTTGATCTCAGACTTCCAGCCTCCAGAACTGTGAGACGATACGTTTCTGTTGTGTCAACCACACGGTCTGGGGAACTTTGTTACGGTGGCTGGCCCTGAGCAGACTCAGAAGCTTCCCGGACTCCCTGGTCTGTCCCAGCCCAGCCCCGTCCCTGTTTAGTTGTCTCTACTGCGTTTATCATGCTCTGACACATTATAGATGTTGCTTATTTAACTGTGGAGAACAGACTCGGTGAGAGTAAAATGTGTGTTCGCTTCTGTGTCCCCAGCGCCTAGAACAGAGCCAGGTGAACAGGGGCATTTGGTAAACACGTGCTGAGCGAGTGGATGAAGAGCAGCTGTCGTTATTCTGAACGCCCGCCTGCCTGCATTTCCGTCCCAGCACTGCCTTGTGTGGGTAGAAGTTACATTGTTCTGGCTCCTGATGGTTCTTTCTCACGGTGTGCTGGGGAAGCCACTGGGCACTGGGTTCAGTGCCTGAAGCCACAGCGCCCCGTTTCAAACCCTAGCTTTGCCCTTCCATTCCTCTTTGACCTCCACAGAGCTATTTCACTGCTTGAAACATGAGTTTCTTCAACCCCGAACTGTGATCACACTGATGGGCTGTGGTGAGGGCCACACTGAGATGAGGTATGGAAGGGCCAGGCCTTCGCTAAGTGTGAGCTGTGTGAATCACAAAGGGACCCAGCAGTGACAGACAGCAGCACCTGTGCCATGCTCGGCTTGTCACTCTGCACACAACCACTCCCACTGTGGTTGCCAGGGCCACTGTTACAGGGAAAAGATGGATGGGGATGGGGAAGCGGGCAGGACTCCTCTTGTCTCTGTGACCAAGGAAATGATGTCCTGACCATAGAAGACAGAGTACACACGGTGAGGGCGAGGGCACGTCTAAGCCGGCTGTGCAGGCTGGGACCTCAGAGCCCTGGAGCTGCACAAGAGCCTTCAGAAAGGCCCTGCCCATGACGGTAGAAGCAGGGCTTTGGCCTTGGGGGACAGCCTGCAGTTTCCAGAATGTGCCTGGCCACTGGGTCTCCTCTGGGTGTAGCCACCTTTGCCTTGACTCTTGTGGGTCCCTCTGCTTACAGTGCCCTTGAGTCCCTGCCCTGGTCTGACTTTCTTGGAGCAACCTTCCCCAGCACTGCCTGACTAAGTTAGAGCCAGCTATCATAGGCTCTCCAAGCCCGTCCCAGCGGCTGTCTTAAGAAGATCCAGGGGTTGACATCCATGTGCAATGAGGGCTTGCTGAGGGCAGGCCACAGAACCCCAACAGGTGGCAGAGGGCCTGAGCCCCGACCCACACTTGTATAATAAAGAATTTGTTTTGTATCCCAGGTTCCAGGTGGGGAGCTTCTAAAACCATTGAGATTTCCATCTGTTATTCACAAGCCATTGGATCATACCTGAGTTTGTGCAGAGATGGCTCAGGATGGGGGATGGTCACCAGAAAGGCCAACCATGTGATTAGAGGGTTGGGGCTCTGCGCTATGTGACATCAGCCCATCCCCTGGGGTGGGGGTGGGAGGCTGGAAAGAACTTCATTCCTTTGGCCAATAATTCAGTTAATCCTACCTAAGTAATGAGGCCCCAATGAAAACTCAGACACCAAAGCTCAGTGGAGCTTCCTGGCTGGCTAGCACACTGCCATGCAGGGAGGTGCATGCCCTGAATCTTGGAGTGAGGACACAGGGGCTCTGTGCTTGGAACCCTCCCAGACCTCTGTTTGACAGGCCCGGACTTGTATCCTTTAAAATAAACCTGTAATTGGAAGTGTGAGTTATGGGAATCATTCTAGTGAATTATAGAACCTGACAGAGTCATGGGAACCCCCAAATTTGTAGCCAGCTGGTTAGAAGTGCAGGTGGCCTGGGGACCATCAAAATGCAACTGGCATCTAAGTGACAGACATCTTGTTGGGGACCATGCCCTTAAACTTGTGTGGGCTGCGCCAATGCTGAGAGGTTGGTACCAGAACAGAATCACAGGACAGTGGTTGGGGCCGGACTAACACTGAATAAAAATCCATGGATGAGACGGACATACAACTCCATCTCAGCCTTCGTCACGCTGCTCAGCTGAGTCAGCCTTAATCCGGGGGCTCTTGAGGGCAGGGCAGTGATCTGAAGTCTCTCGATCTGGCACTGGCCAGGGGCTGGGAAAAGGTTTGCTAAATAAAGGTACACACTCAGAAGACGAAGGACCCCAGAGCATGCCAGGGGGAACTGCTGAAGGAGCCAGGCCTGTGTAGCCTCAGGGGAAATGCGGGGAGAGATGACTGAGGGCCCTCACTTCCACGTGGAACTGGGCTGTGTCTGCAGAACTAGGACAGAGAAGCAGGTTTTGTTGGCTAAAGACAGGGCTGCTGAAGGTGAGGCAGGCTCCCACAGCACGAGGCCAGGATGCTGGGGAGGTGCAGTCCAGGCCTGCACCCCTGGGGTTCCGTGAGCTCCTAGCCTCAGCCTCAGGAAGGGCCAGTCCAGTCTTTCCCACCAACATCAATCCCAAATAGGTAAAAGGATCGTATCTACACACACGGACATCTGGTTTTTGCATCTGAATAAAGAGAACCAGCCGTTTTAGAATAGCTCTTCAGCTCTATGCTTCAGCGCTTAGCTGCCCCAGAAACCAGACTGTTCAAGCATTTCCTAAATGAGGCAGACGATTCCTAAGAGAAGGAATGCCTTGGGCAGAGAATAAACAGCAGGATCTGGGGGCGAGGAACAACAGGCCTGCTCAGGGGAGATGCCATGACATGCGACAGCCTCCACCAGCCCCAGCCGGACACAGAGACGCATGAGCCGCGCTCCTGCCCCGGGGAGCCGCAGCACACTGTGCGTGCACACACATAAGGCGGGTCTGAGAAATACACTACTGAGTAGGGAGGGTTTGGCCACTGAATAACCAAGATCATTGAGCAGGGCGCGGGCAGGGACAGAAGGCTACCCTCCAGGCTGAACGTCTACTGCCACAGCCAGATCACTTCCCTGGTGGGCTGGCACAAATACAGGTTCCTGGGCCCACCCCCAGAGTGACTCAGAAGGCCCAACTCCCCGGGGTTCTGATGAGCAGACAGGCTGAGGAGGCACAGCTATGATGCAGGGTCCCAGAGGGAGACTTCTAGGTGCCCAATATGGATCAGAGGGAGCATCTTCCTAGGGTGTGGGGGGATCTCACCCCATATAGTTTTGGATCAAGAGAGATTCTTCTGGCAGGCGTGAGTCTAGGGCACAAGAAGTGACTCGCAAGGTTTGCAGGTGCCTTGAAGGCCCACTCCAAAGGCTGGTGGGAACAGCTACTGCCAAGCTCCTGCAGGCAGCCAGTTCATGGGGACCTGCCCAGGGCAGTGGGGGAGGCTCAGGAAAAGATTGGCAGTGCCAGGATGCACAGGAGACAAGGGGGTGAGGGTCAAGAAAGACACAGACTGGGCTTGGGTGGCGGGTGCTACCCACGAGCAGGGGAGCTGGAAGATGGACACTCAGGGACAGGAGGAGGTGGGGCTTGGGCTGAGAGGACCCCAATCAAAACAGAGGAGCTGGCAGCAGGTTCAGAACATGAAGACAGAGAAAGCCAGCCTACACGACCTGGAGGGCCTGCCCATGTACCCCAGGAAGCCACCACAGCCCTGCTCAAGGCGCCTCCCCCAAAGCACCTGTCACAGCCGAGCCTCCACACAGAGCACGTGCATCTGTCACACACAGCTTTCCTGTTTCCTGTGTGCACATCAGCCCTGCTCCACGAGAGCACCGCATGTGTCCATGCTGGTCACTGTCTGGCACACAGTAGGTGCTCAATAAGCACGTGCTCTATGAACCTTGAGCAAACTGCTGAGAGAAGGGTTACAACTGGCTGTGATAAAGCAGGAAGGGGGCACTGGGCAGGCGGACGGAGCTGCTGCCGTGAGCCCAGAGCCAGCGTCAGGAGGGCAGAGCTGGCCAAATGCTTGTGTGACATGGGGATGGGAGCTGCACAGGGATGGGAACATCGTGAGGCAGGAAGAGACAGTAGGGGGACATCTGCGAAAGGGCTGCTTGTGAGTGGACACACCCTGGGGACATCCTGGACCAAGGCAGGGAGAGAGGGAACTGATCCTGTGTCAATTATCTTCATAGGACCCTTCACTGGTGGGACTGAGGAGGCCATGAGATTCCCACCTAAAGCCTGAGACAGTCACCATGGGGCTCAAATCTGACAGGAGGGCCCCCAGCTGTCCTCATGATTGTGCTAACGGTCGTGCTGACAGTCTCCTTGGCAGTGACGAGAGGCCAGGCCATGGTCTTGCTAATGGTCTCCTCAGCAGTGGTCGTGCTAACAGTCCCCTCAGCAGTGACAAGAGGCCACTCAGGGCCCAGCACCAACCCCTGCCCAGGATAGGCATGGGTGAGGTGGTGATCGAGTCTCTTTACCTTAATGGTTTTTGACTGGAGCCTCAGGCCATTCAGTGTGTTGATTGCTCTCTCCGCATCCTTTGCAGTCACGTAGTTCACAAAGCCGTAGCCCAAGCTGTGTCCTGTGCGAGAGAACATGAGGATACTGGTAAGCCAACTGCTAGCCAGTGAGCAAGCAAGAGGGACAGGGAGATGGGACAGGGCTGTATCCAACTGGGGCAAAAGGCTCAGTCAGAATAGACAAAGAAAACACACCAAGCCGTTAGGAGCGGTGGCTTCTGGAGGGTGGAATCATAGGTTATGGCAAACTTTCTTACTTTCTTTGGCAAACGTGTACATTTTCTGCAATGAACTAGGTTATTTTTGTAATTAAAAAAAAAAATTTAAGAAGAAATCCTGTGCTACCAACTGCATCCTTGGAAAAGCTTACAATCAGTCCCATGGGTGCTATGGGGCCTGGTGGGTGAGGATGAGCAGGACCACCAAAGGCAGACACGCCGGTGGGCAGAGCCCAAGGAACGATCAGCTTTCTGGGTCCCTAATGTTTCTCTTCCACCTCCTTCCCCAGAGCGGGCAGTCTTGTTGGCACCACCTAGCACCGCTTCCATTTACCTCCCCAAACCTGAGGGCAACCTAACCCAGCTGGGAGTGGAAGAGAACGGGAAGCCCGAGGGGAAGCCCGAGATGGGAGAATTCCCAGCCCTGCCAGGCAGCCCCTGACCTGGCTTCACAGTCCCGGCCACATTTCCAGGGCTTCTCCTGGTGCTGGGCTCTGCTGTAACAGCGCCAGTCCTCAAGTTCAGAGGAGTTGTAAGGGATGTTGCAACCCGAATTCTCAGCAAAGAAAACCAAGGTTACTGGTAGGGTGTTCTCGCCTCTTCTTTGTTAAACACTCTGTACTAGCCATGATGGGAGGGACCAGAAAGGAGCAGCTGCTGGGGATCAGAGTGAAGAAGAAGCCATAGAGAACACCTAGTCACATACCCTCACTAAAAAAGGAGAACCAGAGGAGGCCCAGAGAGAGCATGGTCCACGTCCCCCAGGTTCATCCATTCACACACAGGGCTAGCAGGAGCCCTCCACCTGCAAGCACTGCTCTGGGTCCCAGCATGACAAAGGTCCTCACTGAGCACTGCTCCACTCCTCCCCTCAAAAAATGACCAGGTCCACAACAGGACGAGGTCTCAAGCCACGGTGAGACCAAGATGCTCCTGGCAGTGGTGCTAGCTGCCAGCAGAACCTAGACCCATCTTGCTGATAACAAGACCATGAACCCAGCGGAGAGCCTAACCCAGCTTCGCCACTCTCTCTCTCTTTTTTTTTTTTGTCTTTTTTCGTGTCCGGCAACGGATCGCAACCCTCAGTGTCGCGCCCGTACCGGACCGGGACCGGCAACGAGATCGCAACCCTCGGCGTCACGCCCGTACCGGACCGGGACCGGCAACGAGATCGCAACCCTCGGCATCACGCCCGCACCTCGCTCAGCCAGTGAGCCGGAACCCGTCTGTATGTGGGATCCGAACCCTCGGCGGGAGCGCCACTGCGCCCCCAAGTGGCGCACTGTAGCAGTGCGCCACCGGGCCGGCCCCGCCACTCTCTTTTAAAATTTTATTTTATTACTTTATTTTTTGCTACTTTCTTTTTTTTAATAAACTTTTTCGTTGGGGGGGAGATGGCTGGCCAGTACAGGGATCTGAACCCTTGACCTTGGGTTATCAGCACCATGCTCTACCAAGTGAGCTAACCGGCCAGCCTTAATAAACGTTTTAAAGATGGTTTGAGATTTATAGAAAAACTGTAAGTATAAAACACAGAGTTCCCATGTACCCCACACCCAGTTTCCCCTATTAGTAACATCTTACATTAGCATGATACATTTGTTACAATTAATGACCCAATACTGACACACTATTAACTAAAGTCTACACTTTATCAGATTTCCTTGTTATTTTTTTTTTTCCTCCTAATGTGCTCTTCTGCCCCCAGGATCCCATCCAGGATCCCACATGACATCAGCTGTCACATCTCCTTGGGATCCTCTTGGCTGTGCCAGACTCTTGCTTTTCATGACCTGGACAGTTTTGAGGAGGACGGGTCAGGAATTTTGTAGACTCTCCTCAATCTGGGTTTGTCTGGTGTTTTTCTCAGGGTTAGAGTAGGGTATAGGTTTTCGGGAGGAAGATCACAGAGCTGAAGTGCCCTTCTCGCCGCACAGTATCAAGAGCACACACCATCAACAGGGCTAATCACTGCTGACGTAGAACTTGATCACTTGGCTGAGGCAGTCAGACTGTCAGGTGTCCCTGCTGTAAGGTTACTCGCCCCATCCCTTTTCATACCACCCCTCTGGAAGGAAGTCACAATCACTTAAAGAGTGACCTTGCAGGGCCGGCCTGGTGGCGCACTGCTACAGTGCGCCGCTTGGGAAGCGCGGCAGCGCTCCCGCCGAGGGTTCGGATCCCACATACAGACCGGCTGCTGACTGGCTGAGCGAGGTGCGGGCGCAACACCGAGGGTTGCGATCCCGTTGCCGGTCCCGGTCCGGTACGGGCGTGACACTGAGGGTTGTGATCCATTGCCGGTCACGAAAAAAGACAAAAAGGAAAAAAAAAAAAGAGTGACCTTGCAGAATTATCCTCCCCCTCCTTCAGGGTGCAGTAGCTACATAAATTATTTGCGATTCTACACAGGCCACCCCTCTTTTTTAAAGAAACAAAACCAAAATCTGACCCCCAGACTCATATTTCTAACAAAACTCCACAGGTCTCAGAGACTTGGCTCTGGCGCCCAGGACGGAGTGAGGACCCGGAGCTGTGAGGCTGTGAGGCTGGGCCCATCCAGCACAAGTCAGGATCGCAGCTCAGAAAATGACCAGAAACGGCTCCAGGTCAGGAACGTCAAGGTCTCCGCAAGTGGTCCGGACTACAGAGGTTCAATCTGGAAGTGCAGAATGTCTGTGGTGTGGATCCCCACCCGTAACTCCAGCCTTGCTGGTTTTTTACTCCCAGACACCTGCTCTTCAGCTGCCAGAGCCTTGTTGGCCTGAGCACCGCTGGGTAAACCAGATGCTGATGAGGATCATGCCCCAGGCCCTGGGTCCTGTGTCTTCAGCCACAGCTGGTTCCTCTCTGCACAGAAACACAGTTCCTGCTCAGCCCACGTTCCTGCTTTCTTGACTCCCAGTTGCTTGGTGGCCCCAGTCAGCCTCCAGGGTGGGCACTGCTGACCGCACCGGGTACTGCCCACCCTCTTGGGATGCCACTTCCTCCAGTATGTGAAAACAACACCAGGTTGTCCTTCTCCCCAACTGTCCCTCCTTGGGCCCCTCATCCTCTTCGTCTTCTGCCCATTCCATCAAGACTAATGGTCCCTAAGGTTCCACCTTTGGCCCGTCTCCACTACATGCTCTTCTGGACCTGCCCATGTGTGCCAATGTCACTGAGGAAGTCAAACACCCTCAGGCAGTCACTGCCTCCTTCCTCGATCTGGTTCCTCCTGTCCTCCTCAATGAGCCAACATATTAACTGAGCACCTACTATGTGTCAGGCCCTGTACCCAGCTGGGAGGCCAATAATGCTCACAACAGAAGACAGTTGCTGCCTTAAGGAAAGCTGTCACATCCCTACGGCGAGTCAGACAACAAACCAGCAAGAAACTAACAAGTAAAGACCCCACGTAGGTGCTACAAGGACAATGTCCTTTGTGCTGGGAGAGGGGCTGACAGGACGGGCCCATGTTAGACAGGGCCCTTGGCAGAGGTGATATTTGAACCAGGACCTCAGTGTGGCCAGACAGAAGAGCAAGCACCAAGTCTCGGAGGCAGAGATGATGCTGGTGTGTTCCAGGAAAGGAAAGGTGGCCGGCGCAACTGAGCAAAACGAGCCCTGGGGAACAGCCTGGGAGGCGGCTGCTGGATGGAGAGTGGACAACAGTGGGACAGAAGCCAGTGTGAGGCCCAGTAGGGCATCCACAAGCCAGTGCAGACAAGAGATAAGGGCAGTGTACAGAGAGTGGGGTGGCAGAAAGACAGCCCACCAAGAGGACTGCAGAGAGGGTGATGGGGGAGGTAGTTCCAGAAGGTGCTGGAGCTCCCTAAAGCGCCAGGGAGCAGCTCCCCAGTGAGGGGAGGCCCTTGACATGCCCACAGGCATGTGTCTCCTGGGGTCTGGATCTCCGCTCACCCTTCCTGGGCCTTGCTCTACCTCGAGTCTGCTCTCCTCTCTATGGTGGGCACGGGGCAGTAGTGGGAGGGACGGTGGGTAAGGAATGAAGGGCACCCTGGTTTTCACCCACTGGGTGAGACCCTACACCAGAGGGTGGTTCACCCAGCGCCTGATTGCCCACACCCACCCTTGCCTATGCTAGAGACCAACTATTTTCAACCTTGGCTGCTTCTGAGAATCACCTGGGCCGTTTTTTAAGAACAGTCACTGCCCAGGCCACACCCCAGACTAATGAAATCAGAACTAGGGGCAGTGGGCAGGAGTGGGAAGGAGCTGGCAGTTCGCCTCAGGGATTTTTGAAAGCTCCGAGAGATTCCAGTGCCACGCACCACACGAGGACAGAGGGGCTTCCCAGGGTCATGCAGAGGAGCCCTGGCCTGACCAGTGCCTGGAGGAAGGCCCCAAAAGGAGGAGGGGAAGCAGCCCTGCATCTCTCCAAGTCCCCAGATGTGCAGCTGGCCAGGGGATGGCACTCTGAGAGCTTCTGCCCTGGGGAAAACCAAAGCTGCCTCCACATGGAGCACTGCATATGTCCTATTGGCATCCCCCAGGCAAGTGCGGGTCAGAGCTCCTGCATTTCCAGATGCACGAGGTTCTCTCTCTACACAGGGGTTAGGACTGGAGAGGCGATTCCTCGGCATTTCATCTCCCACTGCCAGACATACTGCCTTGACCCCTTTGTGCTTCTCATAACTGGAAGAGCCTCGAATTGACCCAAGGAAGATGAGTGCCCTGTGGACGAGGCCCTCCTGTGCAGGTGAGGGCAGGAACTGGGAGTTCTTTCTTTACAGGTCTACGGGGACTCCAGGGAAGACTTCACTGAGAGACAGATACTGGGTTTGGGGTGGGGACAATGAATTAATTAGGCAATAAGTAAGAAACTGCAAATGTCCCCAAAG